ATATATATATATATATATATTATAAAAGCATTTTCTCTAACGTATTAAAATCAAATTTCTTTTAGTCACTAATCTAAGTGATTACGATTGGGTGGGAAGTGGTTAAGCATTTGGTGAACCCCATCATCAACTATGATAAGGACTCAAGTGTAATCCCATGTGGTCCATCGTATCGTACACCTAATCCTAGGACTGTTTGGAAATTGGTGGGCGGTTTATTGTTTATAAACGATATCTAAAATTAAATATATATGACAGTTCATTTTATATATTTTTTAAAGACTTAAAACTATTTGATTCGTTAATTTGTAAATAAAAAACGACATTTCAGAAATTTCTTTGTTAAATTAATATATCAAATTTACTTGTTTTAGATAGATATTATATCAAATTTACTTGTTTTAGATAGATATTATATGTTTTTAGTTAGAAGCAAAAGTTAATATTTTTTTAGTTTTAAAACAAGGCAAGATATTTTATTGTAAAAAAATTACATATATCTTTACAAAGTAGTTCAATCGAATTTTACACCCTCCACTAGTATAACAAGATATTAATGAAATTCATGATCATCCAATTTTAGTAGTCTTAGGTTAAAAGAGAATTATTATCATAAATAATTATAAAGCTTGCTAAAATTTATTTGTTTCCTAAGATTATACTATTTTAACATAAATTAATATTTTTTAATATAATATTGATTACCAAATATTTCCATCAATTTTTAAGTCTCCGATATTTAATGTAGAAAAATGAATATGAGTTTTTCTTTTTAAAAATTTTTGATTACACGTATCTACTACTTTCCTCATAAATCTATATATTATTTAGTAATTTTTAATTTATTTCAAAACTATGTATTTATCGAATTACAATAAATGTAGATGACATTAACATGAATATCAAAATCCTTTTAAAATTTTCTTCTTAATATATTTCCTTTCATTGCTAAATTTATGAAAAAAAAAAAAGGAAAATTTTATAGAAAAACCAATAAATTTAACTAATTGTTAGAAATTTATTGCGAAAAAAAATAAACCGACAGAAACGAAACAGAAGTGATAACTAAAGTCACAGCTGCCGTGACCTGATTTAGCTGACCTACATTTACCAACGTAACTAGATTCCGCCACGTGTCACATTTTATTTCGTTCTCATACACATGTAAAAGCCCTTGTTATTCCGCGAAGCAGTGAATCATAACCCACTCACAGTGTAACGGAGATCGCGTGTCTCATTTTACTGTTAACAACTCCCTGCAAAAAGGCGCCACCCCACAACAGAGACTGTGTGATTACAGAGGAAGGAGAGAATACAGATTAGAGAAAAGAGATCAAAAGTGTTTTAGTGAGAGAAAGCTTCATTCTCTCTCTCTTTATATATACATATACATACACCATATGTTTGTATATATATAGTTAGATTCGTAGATAGATAGAAAGCGAGGTTGACGAATTCATCATCACGGCGGCCGGAAAAGAAGCGATCATTCGATCAATGTAGGTAACATAATCGCCATGTTAGAATAATTTTGTTTGTTTGTTCTGCGATCGGTAAATTGTCTTACTTTTGCACAGTGATCGAATGATTAACTGATTATGTGAATTGTGATCTAAGTTTTTGATCGGAAATGAAATCAAATTAAAGTAAAAAGGAAAGCTTTGGTTAGTTCTACGTTTCTGTTTCTGTTTGTGTCAAGCAATTGAATTTCGTGGAGTTTCTGCAACAAACAATTTCGGAAAGAAGTAGCGGAAATTAGGAATTAGTTATTGCGTTTGGTTTTATTCATATGTTATTTATGTTATTACAATAGCGAATTAGAGGAGCTTTTGGTATATTTGTGCTTGATGATGTTGATTAAATCAGAGTATTGATGACTTGAACAGATTATAGTAGTTTGATTTAATTCAGGTACAATGTTTCCTTTGTAGGATTTGCATTTACTCCTGTTGATCTGCTAGTATACTGTATACCCATTGAAGAATGTTTGAAAAATTGATGTCAATTTGTTTAAGAAACACTCTTGTTTAATAAAGGGGAATTCATGAATGAACTGTCATCTACAAACTGAATTCAACATCCTCCATAGTTTGAGTGGAAGCTTAATGGATTTCTTTGAAGGGCTTACATATGAGCATGTCAATTTCATTTTTTCTGATGTTACATATCCTCAGGTAATCATCTAGACATAACCTTTACCTTCTTTATTATGTGTAATTTGTTCATTATGGTTTCTGTGAAAATTTGAGGAATCATATAACTTACAGGATAGCACAAACTATACAATGAATACCAGTTCATACAAGTTTGCATATTCAGAACCTGGGAATTTCTCATACTATGATTATTTTAATGCTTATGCAATCAATGATCCAATATATGGGAACAATGGATTCACTAGACAACTAGAAAATACTTCACCCATGAATAATGAAAGAAGTACACCTGTACATATGCAACAAAATGGACATTCAATTTCAACCTCCAATTCCCATACCAATTCTTCAGATAGTAAGCATTGAATTATTTTTCCTTTTCTCAAATGTTTTATACTAAACCCCAAAACTAATAATTTTCATATTCAAATTTTCAGATCAACGGAGTAATCATAATCATAATCACAATCCTGGTGATCATCAGGTCTAATTTCTAAAGCATTCTCACTATAAACTCTTTTTCTTTTTAAGATTATGTGTTAAAAGTTATAACAAGGTTACATGTATAAATTTATATAGGTTGTGTGGGAAGATAATGTTGATCTTGACAACATGACTTATGAGGAATTGCTAGAGTTAGGTGAGGTTGTTGGAAGTCAAAGCCGTGGTCTATCTCAAGAAGCTATTTCCCTTCTCCCTGTTTCAAAGTTCAAGTGTGGCTTCTTCTGGAGAAAAAAATCAAAAAGCGAAAGGTAACAAATACTTCATTTTATAGACTATATATCCATGGAATAAGGGTTAAAGTAAAAAAGGGGAGACAATAAAAGGTAGATATTGTATGAAATGCACAAATAGATAAAAAGACAATAAAACTAGTTTTTACCATTAGATAAAAAAGTAAAAAAAAAAAAAAAAAAAAAAAAAGGACAAAAGTAATAGCATCTTCAATGGGAGGAAATATTTAGAATCTACCTCAAAACTAGTTTTTACCATTAGAGACAATGCATAAATAATCCAACCATTTGATCTGAACTAAATGTTTTTTTATATCTTTTGTCGTGTAATATTTCATTTTAAAAAATTAATGTTTGTGTAAAAAATGACAAGGTTTTATAATACGTTTAATTATAGAAAATAAAGTTTTACAAATGGTCAATAATCGGATAAGTTTTAAGTTACTAAGCTTTCGTCTGATAAAGTTAGTGGAAAGCTGATATGACAAAACATAAAATGTCTGCATGGCAATTCTGTCAGATGTGTGATATGTCAGATGGAATATAAACGAGGTGAACGTCAGATCACTCTTCCTTGCAAACACATCTATCACTCGGGATGTGGAACTCAATGGCTTAGCATCAACAAGGTAAAATCGTTTTAGTTTTTTTGGTTTATTTACATTATTGCCATTCTTGTTTTTTTTTTTTACTCTGACTAATATTTAAACTCATATTATTAATAGGCTTGTCCTATTTGCTACAAGGAGGTGGTGGTTCATATTCCAAAACATTCTGAAAAATTAAGTAAGTGAACATAGAAAAAGGAAAGTGGTTTCTTAATACCCCTAATTTTATTAGAGTAATATTTTTATTTTTCTAATTGGATGAATATCTTATGTGTTAAATAAGATTACAGAGTGATTAGAGTTTGCATTACCTTCCATTTACCATTTACTTTTTTTTTTCTTTTTAACGTGTCTTCTTGTACTTTCATGAGGTTTTTTTTTTTTAAGATGACACTTGAATGATCACTTTGCGTAGGCTTATGTACTAAAAAATGTTAAATGCAAGAAATAGGAGCTTAAGTTGGTTTTGCTTACTATAACATTCTACTTTTATCTTTTCCTATTACAACATTGTGGTTTAATAAATTTACCCTATAAGAGTATTCGTCCGAATACAATGCAATTTTCCTTACCATAATTGGGTAGATTTTTTCTAAGACAAAATTACTAAACTAACCATAATTTGATGAAACTTAAAGAAAATATTCCGAAATATTCTTTTTTTTTTTTTTTTTTTTGCAAATTAACCAACAAGTCTAGAATGGGGCTTTCTGGATTGACAAAAAAATATTTTTTCTAACAATATATAGATATTATATATAGCTATTATATATATATTATATAATATATATATATTATATATATATATATATACACACACATTTTAGACTGATATTCCGGATTTTAAAGAAAAAAAGAACTCTGAAATTTCAAAAACAAGTCAGAAATCAGATTAACAATTCCTTTTTTTTTTCCTAAAATTAACAAAAATTAAACAAACATAATAAATGGAAAGTATTTACGATATAAAAGCTTAAAAGCAGACATTTTATTAAAAAATGACGATATTACATACCTCAAAATGGATATTTAAGAAATAAATAGAAACAGATTTCTTTGAAAAAAATTGTGATAATTAAAGAAAAAAACTGAAATTTCAAAAACAATTCATGAAAAAATGGTTATTTTTTCAAAAAATAAAAATAAAAATGTTATTTCTTTTACAAATTTATAAGGGTTAATTTAGTTAATTTCCTTTTTTTCTAATGTCCTGAATAGGAAATGAGAGAAAGTACAATGCTATAACTATGTCGATTTTACAAAGTAAAATGTATAGGAAAAAAAAATGAAACAAGATGTATCGTAAAGAAACAAGTGAAAATATGTTGCTGTTTTTTTTTTAATATTTATTTGGGTGTTGGTAAAACAAATTATATTTTCGGGGTTAATATGGTTCATGCCAAAAAGTCCAATGGGCCATATTAAATAAATACACTTTTGGTATATTAAAAACAACACCAACTCCACCACAAATTGAAGAGGACTGATGAGATCATAATACCACATCAGAATTCACACATCTACTCAAAGGACTTGATTAGAAAAAGAGATCAAACCATCTTTTTCAACTCTTACATAATGCATATAAATAGCTCCATTTTAATTAAAAAAACAAAAGAACTAAAAGTAAATCCTCAAGCCTTCCTTTTCAAACCTAATGCAATCAACACAATTGCAAGATAATCAAATCTTAACCCGGACTTTATCAGTTGTAACTTTTTATCGTTCCATGGCGGATATCTAAACCATATATCTATAAAGAAGCTCCTTGTTAGCACCACCTTCTCATGACTAAAATTATCAAACGAGTATTTTCCATGATATCTTCCAAACCCACTCCCGCCTGTTCCACCAAACGGTAAAGTATCCACCACGTACTGCATTTATTTAAAATTTATAGAAAAAATTAATTTCAAAAAATAATAGAAAAAGAATGGCATCACGAGTTGAAGAATTACGTGAAGGATGACATCATTGAACGTGAGGCTTCCGGATGATGTCTCGGAAACCAATCTCTTTTGGAGATTATTGTCTTTTGTAAAGGCATATAGAGCAAGCGGGCTCGGCCTTGATCTTATGAAGTCAATACTGTCTTCAATTTTCTCCAACTGCATCCAAAAAGTTGTACTTGTCATGTTAACATAGAAAACAAATATTGTTTGCTTTGGGCAATCCAATAGAAAGACTTTCGAGAGGGTCATCCATCTTGGAGTACTGATGATAGGATCCAGTGCTATCACAATTTAAAACATGTTTTAAAAAGAAAGATATCCACATCCTTGTAAGAAATTCTTCATTTTCCCTCCAATTAATATAGGACTGACTTCTGATTGGAGGGGAATGAAAAATTACTTTTATAAAGGTGTTGATGACTTCCTTCCAATACATGTTTTTAAAGCCACGAGGACACCACCGAATCTCATTTAAAATATATGGGTAAGCATGCATGGGCAAAACCAATACAATCAGCGATGATTTTTTTGGTTATTTTGTAAATAAGCAATTAAGCTCAAAAAAACAGGTAAATATTTACAAAATAACACTTGAGTTTTTTAATAAATAAATATGAGTTTTTTTTCAAATTAATTTAGTATTATATAAAAAGGAATTTTTTTAGAAAAGTCCTTAAACTTTTAACTCTATTACGAAAAAATCATTTCTGATTGTATATTACAATTTCGCCCTGAAAACCGACATTAGCCAGCAACAATGGTTATTTTACAAGTGTTTACCGGATTTTTAGGCTTAATTGGAAAAGAAAAAAACAAACAAACAAACTGAGTTTTGCATTAATAAAACAAAATTTTAGGGACTTATCAAAATGGAAAATATCTTGGTAGGTCTAGGTAACGTGTTACACTTAAATGGTTAATTCACAACATTTAATGGATTGAAGAAATCTTTCTTACTGTAATAATTGGAAGTAATGGACCAAAAATTTCTTCGGTCATAATTGCAGCATCAAGTGGGGGATCGACCAATATTGTCGGCTCAATGAACCTATATTTCCAAGTAATTTAATTGAAAGAAATATATCAACCCAAAGTTAGTATATAGGTTTTGTATGATTAAAATAAATTATACTCGTAACACATGTATTCTAAATGTTTTAAAACATTATACATATAAATATATAGCAAAACTAATATTTTTTACCCACCCTCAAAAAGATCAAAACAAAGGACTTACAAGTTCTCTTCATCAAACAACCCACCATAAACCACAGAAGATTTGACCATGTGTTCATCTAAGAGACTCTTCAATCTTGAAAAATGCCTCTTGTTAATTATCTTAGACATGCTATTAGATCCATTTGGATCATCTCCAAAACATTGCTTGATATATTTTTTCAATAATTCCACCTAAAATAATGAAACCATTGCATAAATTTATGATAAACAGATTAGAAAAAAAAACGCAATTCGACATTAATATAAATATTTTCCTTTACGATTTTACCAAATTTGACAAATTCTTTTTCTCAACAAGGATATAATCAATGCCGATACAAGCTTGTCCGGCACTCGCTCCAAACTTCCCCCAAACGATTCTTTTTGTCGCCATCTAAAAGTGAAAATTAATAAAATTTATTACTAATTAGTACACATAATATTTAAATGTCATTGATTCATAAAAAATTGAAGTAAATTAAGAAAATGATTATGTGCTATAGTAAAAAGTAAAAACTACATGTTTAATCCAATTTCTGTTGTTTTAGGGTATGTGGTATGGTTTAACCACACCTCTTACTTTTTGTCCCTTTAATTTCATTTAATAAATACTTAAAAAAAAATTAATTATTATTAAAATAATATAAAATAAATAAAAATAAAATTTTTTCATAGATGATCGGCGTTCTGCAACAACAATTTTAAATCTTTGGCATGTTGCTTTTCTCCGCATGTTTTTCCCTTACACATTTTTTCTTTCTTCAACTCCATATGTACGTTAAAATACAAAATACGAATTATGACGTTGGAACGATTAAAAATCTTTATACGGCCTCAAGCAGGCCCCTCGAGCCCTAATCTAGCGATTTGTTGGCCATGCTCTACACCTCGATTTTTACCACAACAAAACTGATTCCCCCGACTCGTCTCTTTTGTGCTAGAGGAATTATGGTTTATGTTGGAGATCTAGATACCCCTTGGATCGTGTGGACACTTTCCGAAATGATATTTCTACCTTATGTCTGAGTTGCAAGAAATTCAACCTAGGATAATCGAAGAGGACACTTACGAATGTAGGGATAGAAATCGTAAGCCAAATTGCTAGAAGGATTTTATGTTCGTCTGAAGAAAAAAGAGCTAATATTTTTGTATCTCTTCTCAAAAAGAAGAGTCGTTTCTATAATAAACGATATTTAGGGTTTGCCTCTTAGGGTGGCCGTCATGGGTTACTTTGAAAGCAAGTAAGGGAAATCCGGAATTTAATGACGAAATCAATGGTTTTTAAAACTGACGAATTTCGTCAGTTTTACCATAATCACCCTCAAGAACTCGATTTTCCCACCCAGCCAGGGGCTCTGCCCCTTGGACCCCGCTAGGGGCGCTGCCCCTAGACCCCGCCAAAGGGACGTTGCCCCTTGGTAAACCCCGGACCCAGTGGCATTGCCCCTGGACCCCCGACTTGTTCGTCAAACCGACTTTCAATTCGATCTTATACATGCGTACACCCCGTACATACTCGCACATATATTAGAGTACAAATTATGAAACCCCTTAGTTGACATGTTAGTTCCAATTACATAAAATGACATGGTGACACTAAAATCACCAACATTTTGTATTGTATTTTTTGTATTTACCCCAATGTCCTTTGTATATATCTTATAATATATTATAAAATATATTAGTCATATCTTGAATTTTAAGAGGAATAAGTTACAAAGTTTTTTGTACATATCAATTATACATAAATAAATCATTAATACTTGCCAAAAATTTGAAGCCTTGAATTAAGGAATGTTATTAACAAACTAGTTTATAACCCGTGAGAAACCACAGTTATAAAATTAATTAAACTTTCACAGTAAAAAAACTT